CAAACTTATAGTTTACTTTCAGCAGATAATTTTCATAGCCGATCGCAGTTGATCCTAGTTTAATAATAATAATAATAACTTTATTACTGTCTCTATTTCTTCTAGCCGGGCACAAGTGCCCTACCAAGTACAATTCCTTTACTTTGTTAAGTATATCTAGTCAAATATCCTGTCGTACTGCAGCCTTAAGTGCGCGATTACACGGAGCATTTTTCTCTGCAACATGTCTTTCAACGACGTTGCCAAACAAGCTGCAAGAGGGTTTACACTGTACAAAGGAGAAGCAATCGTTAACAAAAGTAGAAACACATTCTACTTGATGCAAAGATTGCTACACCTTATCACTCAACATTTGCTTTCAAATAGCGCAGCGCAACCGTGACGTCATACAAACGAAGACAAAGGCGAAAATCGGACAAACAAACTCACAAATTTACTTTCAGCARATAATTTTCACAGCCGATCGCAGTTGATCTTAGTTTGCTTGGGTCATTATTGTAACTTTAAGTAAAAATAATAAAATCGGTTCGTATAATCCTCGTAGGGATTAAACAGAATGCAATGTTTGTCTGAATCTTTAAGCTATTTTTAGAATCAGAGCGCTGTGCTATTACTCTGTACGTCACTGACTAGCCTCATGTTTACATGGAAGCATAAAAGCGTTTTCACATGCATGACAGTGTAGTCAGTGGCAGGTCGGTGCAGAAMAATAGTTATTCAAATTGGTTGCCATATTTTGATACGGTGTATGATGATTCAATCTAAAAAGCAAAACAAAGCAATTTGAAGCAGCTGTATATTAAAGAGAAACACCGGCTAGAGCTTGTCGTTTGGTTTAATGATTCTTAACACTTATTTATAAGTTAGTTTTATCAAACATTAAAAATATCTTACATCGTGTCCAACACAAAATGAACCCCCCTCCCCTCCCCCCTCGTGCAAAGTAGGGGCATTTTGCATGACGTTGCCCCACGTTGATAATATTGGAAGCACCGAGCAAACACCGGGTTTTTGACGACCCGACTTTATATCCCGTAAGGTAGCACCGAGCAAACACCTAGTTTTTGACGACCCGACTTAATATCCCGTGAGGTTATACCGAGCAAACACCGGGTTTTTAACGTCCCGCCTTTATATCCGCTAAGGTATAACTGATGATATAACTCAGACTAACTGATTTAGAAATAAACGCTCGTTATAGTTATATTAATGAAACTTACAAATCCCGGACACACAACGGGATTTTATGCACCTTCTTTCCCCGGTAGCCGGGTATTTGACTCGTTAAATTTGCTAGGCTTGCTGTCCAACAACATAGCTACCATAAAAGCACAGTGTATTGGAAAGAATGGGCACTGCACAGTACTGCACATTTTACACCTGCTTTTCTTAAAGCTAACACCGGACAATCTTGTTTGTATTAAAAGTACCTGACCCCTCCCTCCTGGGGATACTGTTTGCTAACCTACGAATCAAACCTATTACTAGTTTGGTTTGAGCCTTCGCTTCTGTAGAGCAGCGGCAGCTGTACCAGGCCTGTAACCATGGGATACCTGAGTGACAGGTGTTTGGCTAGACGGTTGAGGCGAATCTTCAGAAGTTCTCTGAGTACCTGGTGGGTCTGGTAAAACTCTACCAAAAAAACATGGCCGCCGTTAAAACCCTCTATAGTAGATGACAATCTGCTGCAGCACCACCATGTTACCCCCTATATGGTTAAGGGGGGAACTGGGACCTCAAGTTGATATTGTATTGCATTGTGGGACTGTCTAGGGGACGCCATCTGAGAAATGTTTACCCTTAAACAGTCCCACAATGCACTGCAATGCCAACTCAACCCAGTGTTTTTCTCAACCTCTGAATGGCTRATATGGAGTTGCTTGTACCCATGCTAGACCAGAATGCATCATGCCTAGGGATCCCAATAATCATATATTGATAATTTATTAACTATCGATACCTGTAACGACTGAGAGCTCTGACAGGAGCTGAAGACGACCTCGGCTCAGTCTCTACCACAGCTGAAGCCGATGAAGGGTTCCTGGGAACCACCGTAGATATCGATTGATTTTCATTGACTTCCAAGCCCAACTTATTCTTTAGTAACAGTTCTACTTTTTCTTCTGTGGATGTTTGTCGATACCTTGCAAGGGAATGCACGTATATGTCAGTATTGAATTTTAGGGGGGAGGGGTAGAGTTGATTGCATTCCACAGGAAGCCCATGATAAAGAAAGGTCAAACATCTGATTAGACTCTTCCACAGTCTCTCGCTCGTCCGTTCCRTCTCGAAAAACTAACCCTGGACCCAGCGTGCTTTGGGAACCAAAATACTCGTCCACAGTCTCTCAGAAAATATTGAAACGATAGGAACTGTGGACGATTATTTTGGTTCCCAAAGCACGCTGGGTCCAAGTTTTCGGGACCCACAAGTCCTTTCGGTCATTGTACCGTTACAGTCTCTTAATCGTGGAGACGGAACGGACGAGCGAGAGACTGTGGAAGAGTCTTACATCTGATAAGCAGCCAAGTCAGTACATGTTTAGTTTTAGGGGGGAGGGGTAGAGTTAATTGTATTCCACAGGAAGACCATGATTTAGAAAGGTCAAACCTGTGATAAGCGGCCAAGGGAATACCAGTGCATGTCAGTACATGTTCAATTTTAGGGGGGAGGGGTAGAGTGGATTGTATTCCACAGGAAGACCAAGATAAAGAAAGGTCAGACATCTGATAAGCAGCCAGCCAAGTCATTACACGTTTAGTTTTAGGGGGAGGGGTGGAGTTAATTGTATTCCACAGGAAGACCATGATAAAGAAAGGTCAAACCTCTGATAAGCATCCAAGGGAAACATGGCTTTCCATAAGAATGGTTATCGCATGAGTGGGAAACATACTGTACTGACTTACAGCACATACATGGTACGACATGCCGTAACATTGAAATGGCTTTCCATAAGAATGGTTATTGTATGAGTGGGAAACATACTGTACTGACTTACAGCACATACATGGTACGACATGCCATAACATTGAAATGGCTTTCCATAAGAATGGTTATTGTATGAGTGGGAAACTTACAGCACATACRAGGTATGACATGCCGTAACATTCAAAATGGCTTCCCATTGTCTTCAGTAATTCATCCAATCACATAGCATAGTTACGGCTACAGTACAGCTATACATTTGCCRTATAATTTCCCACTCATACCAAAACCACTGTATATAATGTCTTGATCAATACCTTCTTATCCTAAACTCTCCAGAAGTGTGTGGTCGTTGGAGATCCCTCCCCACCAGGGGTGCTGTAGGTAATGATCTCCCCAAAGGAGATGGTCTTTTGTGACGATGTTCTTTGGGTGGGGGAGGGGAGGGTGACATTTCTGGTTGAGGAATGGTTGGTGATGCAGAGGAAATGGAGTTAGCTGCTTCAGTTTTTCTTGGTGAGGAAAAAGGAGATTCCCTGAAATATGAACAACATCTCTTTTTGAGTTTTTTATTTTTGTATGCTCAAGACATTAATTTTCTTCTGGCTAATGATCTTAGTTATATCATTCAACCATTCATTAATTATTATTATCTATAGTTATTATCGTTCTTATCATCAGTATCATCGTTGTCATGGTCATCACCATCGTCATTATCATCATCACCATCTGGCATCATCATGGTCATCATCACCGTCATTGCTATCATCATCATCCTTATCTCATTACCATTATCTCTGTCATCCTCATCATCATCTTCACTGTCATCATCATATTCACTGTCATCATCATCATCAGTGTCATTACCATCATCATCAGTGTCATCATCATCCTAATCATTAACATTATAATCACTATCATAATCAACATTATCTTAACTATCGTCATTATCATCAACATTATCATCACTATCATCGTCATCATCATCAATATTATCATCACTATCGTCATCATCATCATCAATATTATTATCACTATCATCATCATCATCATCAGTGTCATCACCATCACAAACATTATCATAGCTATCATCATCATTGGCATCATAATGTGTAGTCATTACTCACCCTTCTGATTGGCTAGATTCTGTATCAGCACTCGTTGGTAACTTATGATCTTCCTCTAAGAATCTTAACAAACAAAAAATAATATGATGATAATACTTCAGGGACTGGCCTGAAAGTACATGGCCACTTATCACTTCACTTTCACTGTAGCCTTTAGACGTTATCAAGTTACAATACTGAAGAAATAGAATACACCATACAAGCTGTCTGCAGTTATAAAGCACAGAGGGATTGGTAGAACATGAGAGAAGTGTTGGGAGAAGATTATTGAAGAGATTATTGAAGTCAATATTTATACAGAGACATCCAGGTTAGTTTAACGGGAGTCCTGATATGACATAACAGTCAATTTACAGCATATAGATATAATAGACATAGCATGGATTTGACATATAGATTAAGTACCATAAATTC